AAGTCCATTTGATGGCTGCTGATACTGTGAACACTAGTAAAGCAGGAGCTCCCTCAGACATCACAGTTTGTTTAACTTTCTGGCCAGTAGCCAGTGTGACCTGCCTGCTGCACACAGCAGTAGCTAGCCACAGTAACACAGTGTTAGCTGGATTAGTAACTGTAATGCTTTTACTGTTTTGGAAACTGCAATCCCTTATATAGGACTTGGTACTGAAAAAGTATTTGTTATTACTAAGGTGTTACTGCTCAAGTTTGTCGTGTTTTGCTGTTCACACACAGATAATCCTTTCTTCTCCTGTAGGTCAGGTCAGATCGGCCCAGACTCCGGGTCCTCCACTACCCAAACCCAGGAGCACCGTTTCTGTAAGTCCAGCAGCACAGGTCAAAGGTTGACACTGAGGAAGACAGCAGTTCAACAAAGACTGCTGCTGTTTGTTACTGAAGCTCAGCACATACAGTGAATTTGGCTTGTGATGACTAAACAATTCGTAAACAAAAGCCATGAAGCAGTTCTTATTATAATGATGTGAAACTGGGAGTTCACCTCAGACACCAACACAGTCCAGCAGCAGCTTGGCCCTGCAGTCCCTGCACAGTGCTGTGTCCACATCATTACACGTTCATTCATTCATTCGTTTACGGTTTGGTTTTGGTCCTTAAACCAACCTAACTTGAGTCTCACTGCATGTGCACTATATATGAATATAACTATGTGTGCAGAAGCAGAGGCCTCAGAGGGTGAAGGCCATCTATAACTGTTTAGCTGATCACCCCGATGAGCTGACGTTCACCGAGGGGGAGGTGATCGTGGTGGAGGGGGAGGAGGACAGCGAGTGGTGGGTGAGTGAGACAGCGCATTGATATACCTGCCAGTTTTAGGTGTTTCCACTACTGTTACATGAAGATGTAGCACATCTGAATGCATCCAGTCAGCTCAGCTTCATGCAGACAAAATCACACATCTGTTTTTAGGGTTTTACAGTCTGCATGCTTTCTGTAAGTGTGTCACAATAAAAGCCTTCCAGAATAGACAACCACTGTCAAACTTTAAGAAAACAGGGAAATTGTATTAAAATATCTTCACATGCAAAACAGGACAAAGCCATTTGAGTAAAATCTCCTAAGTGTTCAGTTTGTGAGCGTCTCTCTGTTTCAGGTCGGTCACATCGAAGCAGAGCCGACCAGACGGGGAGTGTTTCCTGTCACTTTCGTTCACTTCATCACAGAGTAACATCAGGTGTGAATGGAGACGAGTCACATGTTCATAACTGTTCAGCTCCTGTTGTCTAACAGCATGGCTCAGTCTGACTGGAGACAACAGGCCCAGGACTGGAGCATCGACCGCAGAGTGTGAATGAACTGAAAACAACGAAGCCCCTTGTTGTTCCACCTGACAGCTTCAATCTAACTTTGCCTCTCAGATCAAGTACATTGAAGACATCTGAGCAGCACCTATGTGACCCTGCTCTGTAGCTTTGTCTTTACAAACCTTTAAATTCTAGTGGAGAGCTCAAGGTTTCCAAAGAGCCCAGATTTGTCAGACTGAAGCTTATGAGTGTCTGAAATGCCTTAAAATTTGGATATTTCACTTCATAGCTTCAGTTAAAAGCTGCAATAACCTGCTGTATAGAATATGTATGTACGTCTGCATCATATGGCCAACCATCTCAGTGTTAGACCTCTGATGCTCTGGTGTTTGATTGGAACATGTCCACATACTTTTGTTGCCATAGAGGACATGATATTGTTAGAGACAGTGATACAATGTGCTAGTGGTATCAAACCTGTGATGTTACAGCTCAGAAATCTAATCTGCTTTCTGTTTATGGATGTTTTCTCAGCAAACGTCTGATTCCAGTTTTTCTGTTTTACGGGAAACAGAAACTTATTAGAAATGATTTTATATTACTTTAACATGTTAGCTGAAGGGAAACTGTCACTGATTGTTTATATGAGAGCTTTAACTGGAGGATGAAATATGATTTTACTGTATTCTCATGTTCTTGTAACACAGTATCAATAAAAACATGAAACTACTCCCTCAACACTGTTAATGTGTTTTTTAATGAACTGTAATGAACACACACTATATGTGCATTTTCCCCTTGCATTCAAACTCATTTTACACTCACCATAATACAGGCTTTACTTCTGGTGACTTTTCTTACCTTTCTGTTGTTCTTGCTATTCTTTCTCTGTTTTTTTTTTTAATTTAATCGCTTTCCCCTTTACTTTCATTTCCTTCTGCCTTATTTTTTTATTTTTTCCTTTTCCGATATGCTGAAGAAACGGCATTTTTCCTCAGGGAATCAGTTTCATTTGGTCTTGCATCACATCACATCATCTCACATTAATAAAATAAATTTTAGTAAAGAGATACAATATAATGTGCTAAGAGAAAAAAACTTGTGAAAAAGTCCCATTAGGAAAATTTTGCTTTTATTTGAACCAGTAATTTCCAAAAAAAAACACCAAATACCTTGTGCAGTCTTTTAACATTAAAGTACTGATAGAAGAATATCAGACACAACTTATTTCATCTTGGTACAGAGAAGAAAGAATGAAGCCTGAAAGGCGGAACCAAGTTACAGGTAGTATACGGAGATATTTTAGGAGGGACCGGAAGTGACGCATATCAAAACTTGTGGCTGCCCGCGTATTAGCTGAAGTAGTAATTAATGAATTCGTGTTTTCGAAGTATTCGTCAGTTATATCAAAGTGAACATGACAGCTAAACGTAAATCTGACACAACGGTTCCTGCGGAGGAAAGTGACCAATTGCTCATCCGCCCGCTGTGAGTCTGACTTTAACCGGCTAACGTTAGCCTTCGGCTAAACTCTATTCAGACATGTACTCATTTAGAAGTTACGTTCTGCCATCAAAGAATAAGACATTATTGATAAGATTGGTGTTTTTAGTCTTTTAACAAATCCTTAGAGTCAACTCTTCAATTCGGCATCGACCAAATGTAACCAAACTAAACTGAGAATGTTTTTTAATGTTTAAAACTATGTAGCTTCCACCAGCTTAACGTTACACTTTATGATTAGTTGAAGTAAAGTTATTGTAATTATCTAAATTCAAAGCTAATAATGTGTTTGAATAGTGAAATGTTATAACTCATATTTGCCATGTCGTTGCTCTGGCTAATGCACAGTTTTACAGATAAGTAATTTTAAAACAGTTTGGTTTGTCGTTCTTCTTCCGGGGCTGACAGACCATATATAAATACAATGTGGAGCCTTCTTCTTGCTGATTTTAGTTAGTTAATGGGAAGAGTTTGAGCTTTAACACTGAAATCTAGCACATGTGGATGTTTGCTGGACATGAAGGTGATGTTATCACTGTGTGTTTGTGTAGAGGAGCAGGACAGGAAGTGGGACGATCCTGCATCATCCTGGAGTTCAAGGGACGAAAAATCATGGTAACACTGTCTTTGTTTTGTTTCTTACTTTAGTGGTAGGTTTTAAGTTCTGTGTGCAGACTCACCTCAGTGTACTGACACACCAGCGTGCGTTGATGTGTGTTCTGCTTTAGCTGGACTGTGGGATCCATCCTGGTCTGGAGGGAATGGACGCTCTGCCCTACATTGACCTGATCGATCCGGCTGAGATCGACCTGCTGCTCATCAGCCAGTGAGTTCAAAAAACCCGACAACACAACTGATCCATTGACACACTGTCAGGTTTCTATTTTACAATTTTTATCTTTTTGGTTATTGTGCTGTTTAACTGCAGAGCCTGATTTTTCAGGTCTTTAAATTATTGAGTTAAAAAAAATAAACTAAAAAGCAACAAAATAGATCTCTGAAGACCACAACCAGCATGGGTGGGTACAAACAAATGCAAAGAACAAATACTTACCTCCTCATGTCGGCCTCCCTCAGCTTCCACCTGGACCACTGTGGAGCTTTGCCCTGGTTCCTGCAGAAGACCAGCTTTAAAGGACGAACCTTCATGACTCACGCCACTAAGGCCATCTACCGCTGGCTGCTGTCCGACTACGTCAAAGTCAGGTAGGGCAACGACAGAATCATTTTTATCTCGTTTCTTTTTCTTAACTGATGGTATTTGAATTATTTTTCAGTTTATAACTGTGTTTTCAAGATGCTCTATAAATACAGTTACTACATCACAGTCAGGCAGAACTGCATGAGCCCCGTGTAACATTGTAGTTGTGAAAACATTCGAATTAAATACGTACTGTATATAACAAAAAGCAGATCATTAGAAACAAAATAGAAGCAGATAGCGGTAACTAAGTAACATGGGAACACTACAGTGGACGGATGTGGTTTGTGTTCATCAGACTTGAATTTGAATGATGATGTAAAATAATTTAGAGCTGCAGCTAAGCTTTGTCTGTAAGCATTTTAACGTGGCTGATCTGCGTTGCTCTTTGCAGCAACATCTCCGCTGATGACATGCTGTACACAGAGACTGACCTGGAGGACAGCATGGAAAAGATCGAGACCATCAACTTCCACGAGGTGAAGGAAGTGGCCGGCATCAAGTTCTGGTGTTATCATGCCGGACACGTCCTCGGAGCCGCCATGTTTATGATCGAGATCGCCGGTGTCAAGGTAACACCAACCAGTCACATGACTCACATTGACTGATACAGGTGGACACAGTCACATGGTTAATCCCCATGAGAGTCCAAAATCACTCATCACTCACACTTTTACTCTGAAATATCATTTGGTAACAGATTCATTCCTGGATCAGTTTTATATTTTGCACATCGTCTGTCCCTGCAGCGTCACCTGCGCTAATCCTGTGTGTGTTTGTGTGTCTATAGCTGCTCTACACAGGAGATTTCTCCCGTCAGGAGGACAGACATCTGATGGCAGCTGAGATCCCCAGTGTCAAACCAGACATCCTCATCACTGTGAGTGTAGCTGCAGGGATTCACTGTCGTCAACTCTAAAATCAGTTATTTTAAACCTTATTTAAACACTGAGCAGGCGGATAAGTGTTTCAATCTAAATTCAACACCTCTGTGTGTGTGTGTGTGTGTCAGGAGTCGACCTACGGGACTCACATCCATGAGAAACGCGAGGAGAGGGAGGCTCGTTTCTGTAACACCGTACACGACATCGTCAACAGGGAGGGTCGGTGTCTGATCCCCGTGTTCGCTCTGGGACGAGCCCAGGAGCTACTGCTCATCCTCGGTGAGACGGCGAGACACGTTTCTAGTGTCATAGCCAGATAAAATTCAGATGTGTGTGTTCACTATGTTTTACACGTACATGCCCCTCTGTTGGTCCCATTACAAATCTGATTAGAGTTCATTTTTATTTTCTACATGGAAATCAGAGTTGGCTCTTGAGTCCAGAGGAGGTGGTGATGCACCTGAATCTGTTTGGTAACTGACAAAAACAGAAGGCGAACCTCAGTTTAGTTACGGCATTAACAGTGTAGTTAGACCTTTCATTTTACAAATTCAGAATGCAGTAGTGTGTGTGTGTGTGTGTGTTTGAACCAGACGAGTACTGGCAGAACCACCCGGAGCTCCACGACATCCCCATCTACTACGCCTCGTCTCTGGCCCGGAAGTGCATGGCCGTCTACCAGACCTACATCAACGCCATGAATGACAAGATCCGCAAGGCCATCAACATCAACAACCCCTTCGTCTTCAAACACATCAGCAACCTCAAGGTCAGCGGGCGTCTCTGGAAAGTCGCAGGCATGTTGTTGTTTATCCTGCAGCCTTGTTTCATGTCCCTGCATGTGTCTGTGTGTCAGAGCATGGACCACTTCGATGACATCGGCCCCAGCGTGGTGATGGCGTCTCCTGGTATGATGCAGAGTGGTTTGTCCAGAGAACTGTTTGAGAGCTGGTGCACCGACAAGAGGAACGGGGTCATCATCGCAGGGTACTGTGTAGAGGGAACGCTCGCCAAGGTGAGTCCAGCCCAGAGCAACCAGGGGTTAAGGTTAAAGGTCGGCGATTCTGTGTGCGTGTGTTATTTTGCACAGACCCCGTCCAGAGACTCAGAATAACAGTGACTGTGGTGTCCTCCCCCTAATGTGTGAGTCCAGATCCTGGTTCAGCTTATCGGTCTGTGCCGTTGACCTCCACTGTTGTCCAGAAACAATTAGACACACCCCAATGGGCCACACCAAGGACCTTCTCAGGGACTGTGGGTGGTGCTCGGACATACAGTGGGACAATTTACACGTGTGTGTGTGTTTCAGCACATCATGACTGAGCCTGATGAGATCACCACCATGTCAGGTCAGAAGCTTCCCCTGAAGATGTCCGTGGACTACATCTCCTTCTCTGCTCACACAGACTACCAGCAGACCAGCGAGTTCATCCGGGCACTCAAACCTCCTCACGTGGTAGTGACACGTCAGCACGCTAACATGGTACCTGCTACATGTGAACATCAGCGCTAAGCTCCATGAAGCTCAGCATTGTGTTTGTTTTGGTGTGTGCAGATTCTGGTCCACGGCGAGCAGAATGAGATGGCCCGTCTGAAGGCGGCTCTGATCCGCGAGTATGAAGACAATGACGAGGTTCACATCGAAGTCCACAACCCGCGAAACACAGAGGCCGTCACGCTCAACTTTAGAGGAGAGAAGCTGGCAAAGGTTCATCACAGCATCCTGAGGCTCTGTGACAGATGGTTTCTCTGTGACCAGCTGTGCTAGCAGCTGGTTGTTCTACAGCTGTACAGCTGTTAACTCTCAACATGCTCTGCTGCAGGTGATGGGCTGTCTGGCTGACAGGAAGTGCATTCAGGGTCAAAGGGTCTCTGGGATCCTTGTCAAAAGAAACTTCAACTACCACATCCTGACGCCCTCGGACCTCTCCAGTCAGTAACCGTGTGTGTGTGTGTGTGTGTGTGTGTGTGTGTGTGTGTGTGTGTGCGTGTGTGTGTGTGTTCATGTTGTCGCATCAAGTTTGTTTGAGCAGGATGTAGATTCTTGACCGGAGCCAAAGCAGTTAGAGAAATTGGACAGTAACAGTTCAGAATAAGTCATTTTTCAAGCAGCAGAGTCGGATGTTCTCGAGTTCCACATTCTGTGTTTGTCGGTTTCTGTAACAGGAAACTGATTAGTTGTAATTTCTAGACTTTTGCACACATCACCTTTGATATATAATGGTCATGTTTCACTATTAGCTGACATTTTATAGACAAAATCATTTGTTGGAATGATAAAAAAATAGACTAAGTAAAAATAAAGGAGTAAACATCACAGCCATAAGTTGGGACAAAGTTGTAAGGTCTGTTTACTAAGTTCAGAGACTTTGAATCGTCTCAGTGTGGGTTTAGTCTACAGATCTCATTATCATCGGTTTTCTGAAGGGTTTTGTGTGACAGTATAACGATGACAAAAGGTTTGAGGTCACACAAACCATGTTTTGAGCTCTACTCAGTCTCTAAGTCGACATTTGAGAGGGCACGCATGCAGATTTGAAAGAGCAGAATTCGATTTGTGTCAAATACTGGAAATACTGGACTGACTAGTCATCCTCTCTTTGCCCAGACTACACAGACCTGTGCATGAGCACTGTGACACAGACCCAGGCCATCCCGTATACCGGGCCCATCTCTCTGCTGGTCAGCCAGCTACGAAGCCTCGCAGGTGGGTCGACTGCACAAACCTCGCCTGCACTCTCACTCTTTAATCTGTGTCTTCAGGATAAATGGAAGCTTCCCGTTCAGCCGTGAACTTTGAAATCATGTCTGTGAACCTTCATCTTTGACGGGGATGTAGCTTTTGTGTGTGTAATCTGCTGTTTGTGTTTTCAGGAGATGTGGAGCAGGTGGAGGGGGCAGAGAAAATCACTGTGAAGGTCTTTAAAAGCATCACTCTGGTCCACGAAGCCGGCATGGTGCTGCTGGAGGTACTTGTTCTAACTTCTCCATGAGTTTATGGTACAAAAACAGCCTGTTGGCAAAGAATTATCAGGCTTAAAATGTCAAGTATTTGGACAGCGTTTGGTTGGAGACTGTGTGAGCACATGAACGCTAATCATTCCCCATATAAAGTTATAGCTACACAGACAGCTGTTAGGCCTTTAGATCCTCCAGGACAATAAGGGTGATACTTTTAGGGCCTAGAAAAGAGAAAAACATTATGACTGAGGAAATTAGAGCAACAGGGCACATAAAAACAAATTAATGTCGAAATGCAAATTTATAAAAATGAGTTTTTAGTAGTTTTAATCATCAGTGACAGTGAACCTCAGAATTTATGTTCTTGTCTCAGTGGATCGCCAACCCGCTCAACGACATGTATGCTGACGCCATCACTACGGTGGTCCTGGAGGTCCAATCCAACCCCAATGCCCAGAAGTGTCAGTAAACGCAACACAAACAGCTGCTGTGGGGTTTTACTTCCATGGCTCTGATCGACAGAAACTAACCTGTCATGATTCATGTTTGTTTGCCTGTTTCAGTTCTTGAAGGCAGGAGGGAAACCTTCGACATGGAGGTGTTTGTTGAGAGGCTGACGCTCATGCTGCAGTGAGTACAGTAACACACACACACACACACACCTGGGGGATGTTTGTTTTCCTCTGCCTGCAGTGCCGGTCGGGTGGAGTCACTACGCACACAGCACAGGTTCAGCTGACACAAAAATTTGTTCAGGCTTCCTGAAACCCCACCCACCTGGCACTCCTCACATTGTAAAACAAACACACCCCGGCAAGAGCGAATTAAAACAGCGGGAAAATGATTCAGATCTTTACAGAATATTAAAGATCTGTTACTACTTTTTTTCAACACTTATAATGTGGTTGTTTATTAAATTATTCCCAGATATTTCAAAAATGATCTTTGCACGTGGTTCTTAAGACGCTGCTGTAAAAACTTAATTTGGCTGCCACCTTGTTTTCTATGAGATGTGAAGGCAATGAAATGACAGTGATTTTCAAAATAAGAGCTTAGCGGTGTGGAGTCTTCAGCCTGTGGTAGAAACAACTGAACAATGTGCTATTTTCTGTTGCAGCGACATGTTCGGGGACAGCTGTGTAAATTTCAGAGACGACAAAAACCTGAGTGTGACAGTGGACGGAGTCGCTGCGTTCATCGACCCAGAGACCAGAGTGAGTACAACAACCTGATCAGTACGGTGGCCTCTTTAGGACATGCTAACAGTTAGCATGTTAGCCTCTGTGCTGGATGTTAAAGGGTGTTTCTGTCATCAAGTCCTGTGTGCAGAGTACTTGTTACCAGGAGCGTATCCAGGATAATTCACTGTGGACACCGCAGCAGCTCATTGTGTTGAGTAAATGACGTATTGCCCCTTACCCGGGGTCTGATCTCTGACCTCCATCTGTTCTTCCAGTCTGTGGCCTGTGCAGAGGACGAGTCTCTGCGGGAGATGGTGGAGGTCGCAGTCCATCGGCTCTACGACGCCCTCAGCCCCACCTTCTGATTGACCTCTCCAGCTTTGTGATGTCACCAGCTGGGGAGGGGGCACCTGTCAGTCACGCCTGACGACAGCCATGTGCTGTGACCGTGTCCACAGAGAGCTGATGATGAACTGTTTTCTCTTTGCTTTTCTGATTTGTCCAGTATAACCAGTTTATAAACATGTAAGGTTTATTACGTGTTACTGGTGGTAAATGTGTTGGTGCCCTCTGTAACAAAGAACGAGCTCTTTGTTGGACACGTGGTTCCAAAGGAATCGAGCACAGGTTTCAGCTTCTTCTACTTGAACTGTTATGAGCAGAGTAAACATTTGGCCAGTGAGTTGTTGTTTTGTAGTGGCTTTCTGAGTGAGGGTCAGTTAAAGGTGGATTATTTTGGGAACACACTGGTGTTTCTGTGGAGACCTGACAAACAAAACCAACAAATCATCTGCTGCTCTTAAAAAGCACTGATTCATGTTTCCTCAGGAAAAAAGTCTTTCATTTCATTCTCCGAGCTGTGAAATGTGTTTCGACCTGCTGCTTTAGTTCTGAAATATTTGGTTTTTTTAATGTGGCAGTAAACAGTTCGGTCGTTCCACATATCTG